AGGAGGTTGACGTCGACTGGGACGGTTTGGTAGGCCTTTGCATATTCGGTGGCTTTACGCCACTGCAGGTCCAACCTAACCGCTAAGGTGTAGTACCCTTCTATGTCGGTGGGGAGTGTTTGTGCAGAGAGGATGTTTCGGACTAGGCCAGCGGACAGTCCAGACAAGAAGTAGTCCGACAGGACTTCTAATTCCTTGACCCCTGAACGTGCTGCGAGGGGTCGGAAGAGGGCGACGTAGTCCTCTGCAAGGCCTGTTTGCTTCAGGGCTTTGAGCTTGGTGATGGCGTCGGAGGTAGGAGAGAGGGGTTCAAACGCCTTCTTGAATTCCGTGACGAAGTCGTTGAAGGTCCCAAATCCCTTCTCCTTGCCACTTACAACGGTGAAGGCATCTTCCTCTCGTGCTTCCCTCCAAGGGGCTGCCGTTCCTCCCACCATAAATGACAGGACAAAGATCACCTTGTCCTCATCATCAGTGTAAGCATCCTTGTTGACGCGGAGGTACGTCCTACAGATGTTCAGGAAGGCACTGGCCTCGAGACGATCCCCTGAGAAGTCCGATGGTTGGTGAATCTTCCTTTCAACTACTTTAGCTGGGAGGGGGGTGGTTCCCATGATGACTAGTGGCTGAGTGGTAATGGGTTTGGTCTGGGTAGGCGGAGGGGACGCTGTAGACGCAGTAGTCGGCGAAGTTGCTGGGGTCTGGGTTGTCTGAGTAGTCGGTTGAGGGGTGATTCCAGAGAATCCGGTTCGTTCAGCAGTTAATGCGAGAGTGGTACTGAGGGGGATACGAGATCCTCCTACAGGGAAGGAGTCTAATGCTGGGGAGCCGGTGCGGCTGGAGAGATGACTAGGGGCTCGGCTAGGGACACGACTCTGAGGTCGGCTATGTGGACGGATTCCCAGACGACTCGCTGCAGCTTGTGCAGCTTCACGTACAGGACGACTTCCCTCTGGGTGGTAGAGGTGGGTTGTTGATCTGTTCTAGGATGAGGTCTCATTGGGTTGGAGTGGGTACACAGAGGGGGTAGAATGCCTTTCATTCCTCTTTGGTCCAGTTGTATCCAGAAAGACGATTGTTGCAGGGTTGGCTGTCACAGACGTACCAGTGCTGGTCCTCAGTCTCCCAGTGTTGATCCTCCTTGGCTTTGGCGTGGTAAGCGTGGTGTTTGCCTGAGCAGTTTCGCTTAGGTGCCAGCTCGTTCAGGTAGAGGTATGCCTAGGCTTTGAGAAGCCGGCGTAAAGAAGAGTTTGACCTAATGTTACGGCGAAGCGTGTCAGCACTCAAGGGGTTGTGTGCAGGTTATGCACAACAAGGACGCAGACTGATGACAAGCTTAGCACACTGGTTCACTGGGGGTCTGGGGGTTCGAGATCACTAGGGGTCTAGGGAGTGAGAACGCTTGATTGGTACAAGAGGTCAAACTGGGGTGCCCAGTGCAAGACATGTCCTTATATACTAAAGTACACGGTCGCTGACTAATCAGAGAACAATAGTCACAAGACAATAATGATGGAGAACAATAGCGAATGGGGACAAAGGAGTCACGTGGTGTTGTGACCATGTAGTACAATGGCGAAAAGAACAATAGTGATGAGAACAATAGGGATATGGAGCATGGTGTTGGAACCATGGTAGGTACGAGTGTCCGGGTTGTGCCGTAAGAAGAGGGAATGCATGGTAGAGAGGATACGAAGAGAAAGGACAAAAGAGACACCCCCACAGGGCGTTTGTAACACTACCCCCCCGCTATAGTCGAGCTACGCCTGAAGCTCGTGAGGGACGAGATGCGCATACGTGGACTAGACGTTGTTCTCATCGCTGAGCGGGCCAAGATAGTCGTTGATCTCGCGTACCTCGCCGTCTTCATCACGACCGTACTTCGACTCCTGCTCGTGAAGGTAGGCCTCCCGCGAACCTCGGAACCCCTTCTCGAAGATGTCGTCGTCCGGGGCAAGGGAGAGGGGGTGCCCTAAGGCCGAGGGCAAGGGGGACGTGAGGCGGTCTTCGAGGGAACGTGCTGAAGACGGACGGCGAGGAGGGGGAGAGGCAGAACGCTCATGGTTTCTGGGCCTGGGAGGGACGGAGGATTGACTAGAGGACTGGGAAAGACGTCCGCGGTGGTAGGACGGAGGTGAGAGGGGGTGCAAGGCAGGGGGAGTGTCATCGTCGGTGTCGTCATCACCATCGCTACTGTGATCTTGTTCGGAGCTAGGGACGGGGACAGGGGCTGGAGAGCGAATGCCGGGAGGAGGTAACGAGGGTAGGAGTTCGTACCAATGACCGGGGATCTGAGTCCCCAATGGAGAACGGGCGAGGATGTCCACTGTTGAGTCGAGCGATAGTGTGAGCTGGCGGCGTGCTTTGGTGAGTCGCTCCTCCA